AGCCAGGATAACCAACACCTTAAAAAAACATTATCAAGAATAACTGATAACCAATAAATGAAGGAGTGTGATTACACTTGGTTCTTGGACATTACACTTCCCATTCTTGGAATCCCATGCGGTATTATCGTATAAGAAATCAAACTAATTAATGATAGTCATACACAAGTCTGTGCTGTGTATCACATACATATCATCTTTGTTACTGCCTAGTGCTTCCTGTGAATAAATCCATACAGTTACAATAAATATAGAAAATGAAGGGTATTTTTAGATAACAGAAATGGTCAATCACTGTTCCAGAATAACTATTTATACAACAAAAATTAGTATTAATTGAAAGAATTTGTAGATAAATATAACTTTTACTATAACAATAAATCCAGACAATTTTGCACTTTACTTTTAAAGTTCTGCCTTTTGTAAAACACACACTTGAAATGTTTGTGGTATTTTAAATTTTCCACAGTCTTTATGTTACCACAACACAGCTGCCCGTGACCCCAGGGTATGCACCGCTGCTACTATACTAATGTACTGCACCGGAAGAAACTCAAACATAAAATCAAATGCCAATTGTTGATATGATTATTTGACTAAATATGCATTAAAACATTGTTATTATCCACTTTCAGAATACTTTTCATGTCACTGTGCGAAAAGTTTGATATTAAGATATGGTATCTGATTATGAGGTTATAAGTTGTACACTCACCCAACTGCCTCTTGTAGTTTCTTATGTAACTGTTGGTAGAGTGATACATTATATGTGCACATAACATAACTTATAGCCATCTTGAGAGCTTCTATCCGTAGTGTAGGGCAGTGATCTGCAATGTATATGAGTCTGTATAGTCGAGCCAATCCGGCATAGCTGTTTGCATATGCTTCTAGGTCCTGAAACAACAAAGTTGGTTTTATTATTAGAAAAAATGTGGAGATACGCGCACATATTTCTACCATGTGTACTACATACCTCATTCCACTCATCGTCCTTTATTTGATCATCCTTATTATATTCAGTTAAGAGTACAAATTATAAACCTTCTTATTATAGAGTTCCCCAGCCTCATGTCACTTCACCCATCTTACAGCCACATATTCACAACACCCTGTTCTCAAACACCCTCAATTTATGTTATTCCTTTAACGTGTGTGACTAAGTAACAACAGGTAAAACAATCTTCATGTTTTTTTAGATAGTAGGTAGGTAAACAAAGAGATTCTGAACTAAATGATGGCAAACATCCCTTGAACTTAATCTTCTCTCTAATTCCTCACGAATTCAAATCAGATATGTTTTTCACAAATAACTAATTAAAATACGGAGTCCAGCAACTGTCATGACCGGAAGCACGTCTGAAATTATTTCATGGATGACATGTTGTACAGACAGGGCAGTAATAGAAAGAGCACTGTCATATTAAACCAACCAACTTCCATTTTGCAAATTTCTCAGTACATTCTCCCATAGATACACCATCACACATCTGTGTAACACTGCTGACTGGCAGTTTAGTTTGTGGTGATAAATTCATGTTGCAAAACCCCATTAATGTTCACAAAATGAGCATGGTCGTGACATAAAAGTGAATCTGTCTGGCCTCTGCTGGATGTTCAAACAATGGATATTTCCACTGTAGCAACTGCTGTTCTGATTCTAGATCACATGTGTAAACCCAGGTATCACTGCTTGTAAGATCTTTGATAAATGTATACCATATTAAACCTTCTAATCACACAAGGTCACTTTTCCTTTTGTTCATCTGTTAACAAACAAGAAACAAATATGGAAGAGAACCTTTGCCTATTCATATCTACCGACAAATAATAATGATGGCATCCATAACAAAGATTAATTCTCTTCACACGTGACTAATGTAACAAATGTCTTGATGAATTAACTCTCTAACCCTTTCAACATTTCCATCTCTTCTGTCTGTGGATTTCAATCCTTCAACAAAGTTCATCTTCCACAAAAGTTCATCCAGCTTTGAATTCTGAAAGCCACTTGTATATATGTGCTTTTACACAGTGGCTTCCCAAAGGCTGTTTGTAACATGCTGTTGCTTCAGAAGCTGTTT